GTGTGACGTCACACGACCCGTGTGATTATGTCGTGTGAGTCTGGGAGTATTTTTCCATGTTTTATAAATAATTCAGTGGAAAACGTACTCTCAGATTACGGTTTTTTCTCTGAAACCGTAATCTGAGGGTACGTTTTCTCTCTAAAATAATTCAGTGGAAAACGTACTCTCAGATTACGGTTTTCTCTCTAAAACCGTAATCTGAGGATACGTTTTCCATTAAAAAAAATTTAAACATTTTACAAATTTTTTAAAAGAAAGCGTATACCTAAAATATGTTTTTGTAATTAAAACATATTTTCCAGAATACGTTTTTTGTAAAACGTAATCTGAACATACGTTTTACATTAATTTAATTTTCCTAATCATGTTTTATATTAATATAATTAAGTTAATCACGTTTAAAAGTTTAATTCGTTGTAAAACGTATTCTGATCATACGTTTTACTATTAAAACGTATGATCAGAATACGTTTTACAAAAGAAAACGTATCCTGAGAATACGTCTGTTTTGTTTTGGTCGACCCCCTTTTTTTTGTCTACTTAATTTTTTTTTTTGATTTAAATAATATTTTCCTTTATATAGTGATATATTGCACTTTATAAAACATCACGTTGCACTTTATAACCACACTCCGCAATAAATGTCAATAAATCCCGGCATAATATTACGCAAAATGGAGCGACATAATATTTTACTATCCATCACATTATGAAAACAAAAAACCAAAAAAAAAAAACACACACAATTATGTTAAAACACCATAATTTTAATATTGCACTTTATATATTAATACATTGCACTTTATACAGCAATACGTTGCACAATATATCACAACACGTTCCGTGTACTAAAATTACAGTAATTATAATGACTGATCAAAAAATATTAGTTGGTTAATGTCGGATTTAGTTATTTTTAGATATACAAATTAACAATAGATGCCGAACTATATGAGAAATATTACCAATTTCTTTTTAGTTATTTATATGGATTTATTATAAATGATACTATTATTTTATCTATATTTTTTTTGTATTGCGAGTGCATATTAATGTTGTACAGATTGCACATAAATGTCTACCAGATTGCACAAAATCAAATAATATACGATGAACATAAATTCGGTACAAAATTTTATATTTTGGTTCTATGTTTTTTTTTTCTATTCTAAAAATTTCAGTGTGATGTCATTTTTTATTTAATAATTTAAAATAAAAACCAAACTATAGTAAAAATATTATTTAGTATATTTTTGTACAATAGCGACCACGATTGACAAGACTAAAATTTTATATTATTAACAATTATCTATTTTTACTTTTAATTTTAAAATATTGTCTACAATATTATAAATATACATGATAAGTTAATTCAGTTGTTTCGGTTGAATCGATTAACTAACCGAATAAATTGATTATTTATGTTCAAATTTATTTTGCATTGTGATAAAAAATATCATTGGTACGATTAATGTCTCACGGTCGTGCACATGTACAATCAAAGCCATGCAGATTGTTCTTATGTACATAGCACGTCAATGTCTCACATATTGCACATTAACAATGGAAGCTGACCAACATATTTTGATCCGAAATTTTATATGTTAGTTTTCAAATTTTAAAAAGTTCATTAATTTGGGTTCAATTTCGACTTTAGACTTTAAATATCATTTATCACTATCTTTATATTTACTAAATTATTGATAATTTAGTATAAATACAACCAATATATCTTCATTGTTCCAGTCGCCACAAGATGACTACAACAAAGTAGTTGAATTGATATCCCGACTAAGGGATCTAAACATATATGAAAGCCAAACACCCAAGTCACTCAAATTACATTTCACCTCACACAGTCAATTCACCCTATTTTTTCAAAGAACTCATCCAAGTATATTGCATCTAAACTAAAATTCACCGGAATCCTCATTCATACAGTCAATTCAACTAATTTTTTCACATAAATCGGCCAAGTATATTGCATCTAAAACAAAATTCACCCGAATCCTCGTTCACAGTCAATTCACCCAATTTTTTCATAGAAATCAACCAAGTATATTGCATCTAAATCAAAGTTCACCCGAATTCGATGCAATTCCTCAGCCCCAAACAGCATTTCCGGCCGCGCTTCCCATCTCCCGTTCAAATCGCCGGCGAGATCATCCCGTTCAGGTCGTTATCCCTCTACAATTCCTCTGCAACTCGCCGGAATGGCGACCCTCGCCGTCAGTATAATCGGGGCGCTTGACAGGCGGTCTGTGCGAGTCTAAACAAAGGCGTGACGGTGTCGACGGTGCCAGGATAGTTGACGGTCGTCGACGGGATGTCAGCGGCTACAACGACGGCGATAGATCGAGCAACGATGGGAGAGATTAGGCAGATCGCAGTGACGGTGGCTTATGGCGGGTTGATTCCGGCGTGTTCGGGAGGACGGGGGAGGGAAGGCATTGCTGGGGATGGCGGACGGCGTTCGACGGGATGGTAACGGCGGCAGTCCGGTGGCGGCGGCGGTGACCGGTGGTTTGTGTGCTGATTTCCGCCGTGTGTGTCTCTCTGTGTGTGTGTGTGTTTGTGTGTGTGTGTGTATGTGCGGGAAAGTGTATCTGTATGTGAGGGAGAGAGGTGAATAAAAAAAAGTGTGGGTCCATGTGCTATATGTATAATTATCTTTTTACCCTTAATTATTTATCAAATACATATATTTGACCATAATAGTACAAATAATTACCAGATTGCCATTAATGATTGACCATTGTTTATGAAAGTTTGACCTAATCATGACCATTGACTTGATGGATCCGATGGTTTAGATTCATTCTCATTTCTTTCACTATCTATCATTCTCATATGATCCTAACTCTATATATATATATATGGTCACGCTCCGGTGAGAATGGTGCTTCGGGAAAGAAATAAAAATAGACTGTAGTCGTTAGATTGGATAATGTAATGGCTAAAAAAGTCAAAATTATACCTTCATAAAAAGTATGTTAGACATTTTCTATATCTAAACATGGATCCCACCAACTATCTACCGTTTATAACCCGTCAGCTAATTAAAAAAAAAAAAAAAGAATAAAAAAACAGCTAATTAAATACCCGGCCCACGCACCCACCCCCATACCCACCCATTACCCACTCTCTGTACACATTAACTACACGTTCTCTGTACACATTAAACACGCACACACACCGAAACACACACAATCCCACACACACACAACCGCCGGCCGCTGCAACTGCCGCCTCTCTCCGCCGCTGACGTCCACCTAATAGTCGTCGCCGTTATCTTCCACCTCACCGGACATTTTCTATTCCGCCCCTCGCCCTCGTCACGAGTCTCCTCTTCAGGGGGGTCGTCGCTCGATTTTCAGAGGTCGAGACGACACCTGTTCAACCACCACGCACTGCCGGCGTCGCCTCTCTCTGTGGTGGTTCGCCTCAACTTCGTCGGTGAATGAGACAACAAGGGTGGCGTTTCGATTTCAACCATCACATGTCGTTCGGGCCGTCATTCGAAGAGAGAGAACTCAACCGCTGCTCGTCACCCTTTAACACCTCTGCCCGTCGCCGTTAACTCGCCGTGAGTATGGCGGCTTGCGCCCTCTAACGCCGCCGTTGGTCGGACAAACGTAAAAAAAATGTAAAACCGGCGAGAGATCACCGGAGAGACGATAGTGGCAGGATCGGGTCAATATGGCCGGTCGGAGGTCTGCCACGGGTGGAAGAAGAGCTGAGAAATGGATTTATGGCTAAGGACTAGTGTTTGAAAATTTGATAAGCTACAAGGACCATATGTAATTGTAAGAGTTTTAATTAATTGCAATTAAGCTATTGGGGTAAATGTGTGAATTAAAAAAAATTAACTATATTCTAATTTAGTCCATGGAGAAAATTTGTAATTTATAGAAAATATATAAATCATATTATTTTGTATATAAATATATATTTTTAAGCATATATATTTTTTATTATAAACCAACAATGATATAAATTATTTTATAAAAATATTAAAATATTAAATATATCTTTAAAATATAAAATGCAATTTATTTTGATTATTTACATTAATCCGATTAACAACCGATTAAGAAAAAATCATACACTATATAATTCATAAGATGCACATTAGAGGAAGCTAGAGGGCACATTAGAGGCAGACCAAATGCATATTTCATTCCAACTTCTACTTTATTAAAAATAAATAAATAAATAAATAAAATAGATCTAACTATTTAAAAAATTGTTTATATATATATATTATCTAAAATATATATTATTAACAATAAAATAAAATATTAATTAAACAACATTCAAAACATTGAATATACTTTTTTATAATATAAAAAAATTTGATAGATGCACAATAATATTAATTAAAGTACAAATTACTGATTTCTTCTAAAATTGAAATGAATATAGAAACATCACGCTATTCAGACTGCACAATAATACTAGATTAAATGCACATTTCTTTATATGTGAGTGCACATTACTAATTTCGATATTTCATATCTCTCTTATATATATACAAACGAGTTTGTGCCCTTTAAATGCCGACAAGTGTCCATTTTGGTGTGCTCACAAGTTAGACAAGTGTCCCATTAAAATTACAATTTTGCCATTGTGTTAATATTTGTAAAATTACAATTTTGTCCCATTAAAATTACAATTTTGCCATTGTGTTAATATTTGTAAAATTACAATTTTCGCCTTGTTTTCCGGATGTCATCATGTTTCTGTCAGTTTTTTTT